TGCCATGGGTGTTCTTTCTGATTTTATAAGATAAATAAAAATGGAAAAAACGAGTTTATAAAAAACATTTTTTGTTATATCGAATTAAAAGGTCAATATTATAAATCAGTTTTTCAAAATTCAAAAAGGCAAAAATAAGTTTCATTATTTTCAGTGATCTTTTAAGACAATATATATCAGTCTGACTCCCCTTTAACTCCACCTTTTTTTTCTCTTTCCAAGCAATTAACCAAAAATTTACTATGATCTTTGCATACTTTCTGTCAAAATTATTAGGAAGTCTTTCATTTTCAATCACGTTCTCAGATGTAGAAAACTGGCTGGTTACATTCAATGTCGTAAAATCCAAACCAATTAGATTCTATCACTATCGTTCGAACCCCGAACTACTATCAGTCACGATGAACGGATGTCCCCTCGAGGAGGCACCATGCCTTGAGAGGTTACTGGGCCTCAAACTAATACACGACCTCAGGTCCATCGCTAAAGATGCAAGTAAAATGATCGGCTACTTGTACCGCTCCAGTAAGTAGCTGACTCCTAATACTATCCTCTACCCTTATAAGAGCCATCATCAGGCCGAAAATGGAGTACTGTTGCCATATTTGGGCAAGAGCTGCCCAGACCTCACTTTCCGGTCTCGATAGAGTCCGAAAGCGTCTCCAAATCCTTGTTGGAGAAGAATTATTTTCTGCCGTCCAAAGTCTCTCTTAATGGCGAGAAATGGTGAACCTTTCACTGCCCTATTGCTACTACCATGAAAAGTGCTCAGCCGAATTACATTCCTTGGTTCCGTCAGGTGTAACCTTCATGGCGAAGATCGGCTATGCCTCTTATATTGTAACAAACCATCCACATTCCATCCGTATTCCATCGGCGAGAAGTAAGTTCCACCTAAACAGCTTCTTCCCACGAACCACTGCACCGTGGAACAGACTCCCAAGAGGATGTTTCCCCGATCACTACAATATTTACCTGTTCAAGTCTAAGATTAACCGTTATCTTCCTCTCCTATCCATATAAACTACCCCTAAACGTAACCCTCTACCTCGAGTGGCTCCCGTATCATTTCTAGTTCCCTCTGTGCTGTTTCTTTGTAAAGATTAAATTGAAATGCTATGTGATATCTAACCTTCTATATGGGAGTGAAGGCTGGACAATTTCCTCAAAGATGAAGAACATACTTAAAACAACAGAAATGTGGTTTGACAGAAGGATGCTGAAGATACCATCGACCAAAAATAAGAGCAACAACGAAGTTCTAGAGAAAATGGAAACAAAAAGGAAATTTATATTTAGCCTCAGGAAAAGACAAGCTGACATTTCTATGACATAATGAGGAAAGAGGGCTTGGGAAATTTGATACTCACAGGACAGATTGAAGGCAAGAGGGACAGAGGGAAACAACGCATAAGATGCCTAATGAGCTTGAGTAAATAGTTTTTTGGAAGAATAACAAAAAGACAAAATTTATTAAGAGTTACCAGGGACAGGAAATCGTGGAGAGCCGTGACCGCCTACGTCCAGAAGGGACACGGCACCTAGAAGAAGAAGAAGAATCTTCAGTAACTGGATGGCGGAACAAGGTTTTTGGAAGAAATAACAAAAAGACAAAATTTATTAAGAGCTACAAAAGGCAGGAAATTGTGGAGAGCCATGATCGCTTATATCCCGAAAGGAAACAGCACCTAGAAGAAGAAGAATGAGCTTGAGTAAATGGATGGCGGAACAGGGTTTGGGAAAGATAAAAATGACAGTTTATTAAGAGCTACAAAGGACAGGAAATTGTGGAGAGTCATAATCGCCTACGTTTTGACGGGACACAGCACATGAAAAAGAAGAGAATACACACTCTTCCGCGTTTTTCCAGTTTTGTGTATTTACTGAATTCGTTTTTTCATTCTTATGCAAGCAGTTGGTTCTCGTGGTTTAATAATTTATTACTTATGACCTGTCTTTTAATCTAACTGGAACTGGTCAACCGTTTGAATCTTAAAGTCTCCAGGGATTCCTCATGTTTCATTCGCTAGTAAAGATTCCAGTTTGTCCATATACCATTTGTTTGTACAGAGAAAACGCAATTGTTTGCACAGTTCCCGATGGATCATACTCCTCCACTCAATTATACCTATTCTTGTATTCTTTTGGTCGGCCACTTTGTTACTATGACATATTATATAATGCGCTGTATCATATCTTGAATATCAAGAATAACGAAACAGACGCGATGCAAAAACAGACAAAATTCGGTTTATGTTAATTTAATAGATTTTTATAATTACTTTTCACTTGATATTTAATGTTGACAACAAAAGTCCCACCTTCCCCGCAGGTGAGAGACACGGTCAAGTAGGACATCGGAGCTATTTGCTGTTTGTTTTGTTTTACGGCAGACCAACATCTATATGGGTCATTTAATGCCGAAATTAAATTTTCTTGAGAGTTTGAAGTAATAAAAATATGAGATATGTTATTCTGCTTTCACAATTGAATACATGGTAAATAATGCTCAGCTTTTGTGCATATACATGTTTGTGTGGACATAATTACTAGAGACAATGATATGTGCGTTTTATGTTATTTCGTTGAAGTTATATTTTGGAATACAGTTTGATTTCTTTATGAAATTGCAGGATATTATATGGATTAATGTCATGAAAGACTTTTTCACGCCGCTTGTTTGGTTAGTTTTGTTTAGCAGCATATCAACCTGTATGGGTTATTTAATGCTGTAATCTGATATATTTTGAACGCAATTGCATGCCTTCAACTAGCCACATCCGGCCCGCAAAGAATTTTTGTCCGACCCGCCAACCTAACACCTGGACACTAATTATCTAATTAACTTGTGGAGCAAATGGCAGAAAAATACCAGTTAGAGTTAATAGATTTACAATGAGGCGGATTTTTTTAAATGTAAATTTAATTGCGAATTCGCTGCTGATATCTTCAAGAAATATGTTTTGTAAGTAAAAAAGAGCCTTTTGAATAATGCGAAAATGATGGTAATCATTATTTGGAAGTACATAGAAGAAAGACAAATGTCACGTAACAGCTCAGTAGTCTTTTCTTTGTTACCAAAGAAATCCTCCTGTCTCGTAATACTCTACCCAGCTTTTGGAAAATGTCCTTAGCCATCCCAATATGGCTACGGATCTCAGTGACGGACTTACCGTCCTCTGTCAAAACGCTTCCCAAATTTTTAAACTTCCGCGCCTGCTTGATTCTAGTGTCCCCGACCTTCAGATCGCATTTCGGGCTCATCTTTTTACTGGTGACCATGCATTCTGTCTTCTTGTAGTTTATGCTTAGTCCTTTCTTCTCACTCTCCGTCGTTATCTTCTGTAGGAGATTTTGTCATTTCTTTTCCTTGTCTGCTATCATCACTGTGTCATCCGCGTATCTTATTTTGTTAAGATTGTGGCCGCCAATGCTAAATCCCAGTAGGGTTTCCAATTCTCTCAGAATTATCTCGCTGCATAGGTTGAATAGGTCCGGTGAGAAGACCCATTCTTGCCTTACGCCCCTTTCTATTTTTGTATATTCGCTGAACTCATTCCCTATGCACATGCATGCTGTTTGCTGCCAGTATAGGTTCGTGATTATTCTGATATCTTTCGTGAATATACCAAGCAATTCCAGCAGATCCTTGTGGTGTACTTTGTCGAAGGCCTTTGCGTATTCTATGAAATATAAGTACACCTCCTTCTGCATTTGTATCGCTCTTTCTGATAACATTCTGAACATGAATATCGGGTTCTTTGTTTCAGTGTCTTTAACGAACCCCCACTCCGAACAATAAACAGAAACAAGTGCTGCATTAAATTATTTGTTATTTCTAAATGTATTCATTTTGTATTAAGGAATTTGCATTTTTTGTTGTGCTTGTTGTCATCCTCTTAATCCTGCAGTAAAATAAGGGACTTTATTTAATATAATATTAAACTGCCAGACTAAGGCAGCCTTTTGAATGGATCTAAGATCGAGACATTTTATTATAGTACATTTAATATCATGACCCACGTAAAGACACTGCATAGGTTTCTGACCTACATTCTCCAAAAGGTTACCGAGACCTGGTTTACTTGCTTTTCTGATAACTACAATCTTCAAAAATCTTTTTGAATCCTGTTCATCTTTTGTCCTTTCCTCGATCCTCCCTATACTCAGTTTTTTTCTCTTACTTTCACTCCCTGTAGCCTCCTGCGTACTAGTGACATTCCCGCCGTGCTTGGGGTGAAATGATTGAAAAAACAAGAAAAATATCATTTTGTGTGCATACGTCTGTTAACAGTTTAATATCAACAACAAAATATTCTCAAGTAAACATTATTTCACTATGTTTCCATTTTCACAATGCGAGCCAATGTTTTTTTTTCTTCTTTTTTATCAAACTTCGAACCAGTTTTTAAAAAATGGCTCACATTCCATCTGTAGGCTAAATGATAGATTATGTTGTCTACCACTAACCGTTGTATCGGGTGGGGTAGTTTCAAAATAATATTGAACTCTTGCCCTTCGGGAGTAGGGTGGATTTATTAGTCGTCACCTCAGGCATCATCGAAAAGGGGAAGTGTCGAAGGGATTTGAGCAATTTTTCCCACTGTATTGCGATTAAACCCACTTTAAGCCACGACCTTTTGTCATATTCAGTAGCGACGTGGTAGCGCTGAAAAATCCAGTTTTGCGATCAACAGAGTTATAGGCTCACAAGCCTTTGTCAGATTTGTTATTGCTAATTCACTAACCTGGATAACTTTTTACGGCTTATCAACCCTTTGTAGGTTATTTAAAGCTAGAAAATATGTTTAAACTGTAAGAATTCGTTTTAGAAAATAATAATATATTGATATAAGTCTTACTAATTAACCCATAGTTGGGGGAGGAAAATGTGGATTCATAACGTTCAAGAGCATTTGCGTGTAAGTGAATATAACTCGGCTCTCTGATTAATAATTCCAAGCCATTATCCCTTAGTCCATATGCACATCTAAGCTTAGGGCACTTGGTATTCCCGACCGGTCGTCCATCTGCGTACTGACCAGGCTTAACGTTGCTTAACTTCAGTGATCGCACGGAAAACGGTGTTTCAATGTAATATGACTGTAAGGCATGCCAACTGCACATCGAAGCTTACATCATCTGGCATTTCCGAGTAGTCACCCATCTAAATACTGACCAGCATCGACGTTGCTTATCATCAGTTATCGTACGGGAACTGGTGTTTCAATGTAATATGACTGTAAGCCGTGCCAGCCCTACATCCAAGTTTACAGCGCCTGAAATTTTCGAGTGGTCACCCATCTAAATACTGACCAGGCTCGACGTTACTTAACCTATAAATTAAGACGTAACATTTTCTTCGTCCGTCAAATCATCAAGAGCAAAATATACGCAGATTTGCTGAAAACGTTTTAAAAATTAGCCCCCCCCACACACACACACACTTCTTTTTTTTAATTTATCTGCACGTAAATATTCTTACTTGTATTTTTCTTAATGTGAGGCTAGAAAAAAATTGAAAATTCTGAATACAGCTAAAAGGGAAAACCGATCCTTTGTTTTTATTGGGGGGGGAATTTTTTCTTCTTTGAGGATTAAGATTCTTTGGGGATTAAGATTTTGCGTTTGCTGTATATTTAGGAAATGTAATAATAATAACTAGATAACGAGAAGGCACGATCGAGTAATGCATAGCGGCTCGGATTAAGGAATGGGAGAACCGAGTTCGAATCCCTGTCAAATCCATTACATTTACTTACCTTGGGAATGGTACGAATCCAGCTACGCATAAATAGTAGGACAGATCGAGTTCTATAGCCCTGGATGGCAACTGGTCTACGACAGAAAAAAATTGCAACCTACTCTGCCTCATCAGTCATGTATCGAAAGACACATGATCGCCTAAGCGTGTATCACGCATGACACGTAACTGACTGAGCTAGATAACAATATATATATATATATATATATATATATATATATATATCAAGAACAATATTGAGGGAAATTATATGACAAAGTGGAAAAAGTTTTCTAGTGACGCGTTTCGTTCTTTCGGACTTCATCAGACTAAATTTGCTATGTGTACGAACTAAGAATGCTAGGAATTTTTAATTCAACCTTTTTTTAAATCTAGCCGATTTCATCTAGATTCTTTTTCTTTTTCTTTCCATCACTTGTGTTAGTAGATATAACCGACCCCCCCACACACACACACACAACACACTGTGATAATAAAAGTTCTGCCAGGAATGGTGAAAAGCTGTAAGAGCCAGGGCGCAAGTTTACTATGGATGACCTTGCGATCAATGCACACTCTGCCGAGATCTGGCAAATCTCGTTGCATCGGGATCTCAGATGCTTGGTCTGTCAATGTCCGCTTTGGTTACGCCAGCCCGACTGACATTGCCCACTTCCGCCTGCTTGATCATTGAGATCATGTTGATCTTTGTCTATTCTGACGTTGAGGTTTTCGGGAGTTTGTCGCGTTCAGTTTGATCTCTTCTTCCTCGACCTTACCATCATGCTCTTGGGAACACTGAGGCACGTAAGCCTTCTACCGTGACATGGAACGACTATATATATTCTACACCGGATGTCGCAGTGAACAATTCGTTACCAAATCAACCATTTGACTTATTATTACTTTAATGACAATAATAGAAACTAATCAATAAATAAGAAAAGAATAAAAGTATAAAATTTTCATTAAATATATGAAAACATTTATATTATTGTTTTTGCCCAAAATAAGTATTAGAGAGATAAAGGAAGAAATTCACTACTGAAGAAAATAATAACGTTACGGCTCGAAACGCTTTTCTTACAAATTTTAAAATACGTCCGCGTCCATAAAAAATGTTATGTTAATAATATTAATAAATAAGAAAAGAATAAACAAATAATATTAACAGAAAATATTATTAAAAATGTTTGAATGATAGGGAAAGAAATCGACTATACTGAACCAATAGTCATAGATTAACAAAACAATCATCACGACTCGAAATTCATTTCCTACAATTTCCAAAATGACGTCCTCTTTCATAAAGATAAATGTTACGCTTAAATATAAATCTAGAATGATTTATGCCAGGGTATAAGTGATTTAACAAATGCAGTACATTAAATGTTCCTAATATAATAATTGCTGGTGATAATAGGTTAAGAATATAATGATGGAGAAAGCATCCATTCGTGAGTCAGTTCTCCGGATGAGAGTTTCCTGGAAAGAAGTTATCCTGATGTAACTTCCTTCTTATTAACAAAATACGAAAGGAAGGGAAATTATTTGTTTCGGTATATGTGACATGGCGGGTCTAAGCTGCGAAAGTCTGAACCAGCGGAACTCTAGCTTAAAGCTGATCTCCGCTCTAGATGAATCTGGCAGTTGATCTCCCCTCTAGCTGACTAGGGCCTGGCAGGCAGTTGATCTCCCCTCTAGCTGACCAGGGCCTGGCAGGGAGTTGATCTCCCCTCTAGCTGAATCTGGCAGCTGATCTCCCCTCTAGCTGACCAGAGCCTAGCAGATCTCCTCTCTAGCTGATCAGAGTCTGGCAGTTGATCTCCCCTCTAGCTGACCAGGGCCTGGCAGGCAGTTGATCTCTCCTCTAGCTGACTAAGGCCTGGCAGGCAGTTGATCTCCCCTCTAGCTGACCAGGGCCTGGCAGGCAGTTGATCTCTCCTCTAGCTGAGTCTGGCATCTGATCTCCCCTCTAGCTGACCAGAACCTAGCAGCAGATCTCCCCTTTAGCTGATCAGAGCCTGGCAGTTGATCTCCCCTCTGACCTAGCTCAAACTGGCTGGTCACATTCAATACCTCAAAAACCAAACCCGTCACAATTTACCATCATCATTTGAACCCTAAATGTTCGTCTCTCGCGATGAACGAGAGTTCTCTCGGAAAGACCTTATACCTTGGGCGCCTGTTGAGACTTAAGCTCAAGTGGAACGTGTACATACGATCCTGGATTCTGCATAAATGATCGGTTCTCCGTACCGCTTCAGTAAGTACCCGACTCCAGCTACCCTCTACCTTTAGAAGAGTCAGCTCAGACCAAAAATGATAATCCAAAAGCGTCTCCGCGTCCTTGTGGGTGAGGGATTTACTTTCTACCCCACAGTCCTTTTCCAACAGGCGGAACGTCACAGACCTCTCGCTGTTCTATCGCTATTTCCATGGAAAATGTTCAGACGAACTCCATTCCTTAGTCCCACCAGTTCTAACCTTCACAGCTAAGATCCACCATGCCACACCCATTGTAGCGAACCTCCCTCATTACCTTCATATTCCATTTGGGAGAAGTACGTTCCACTCGAACAGCTTCTTCCCAAAAACGGCTACTTTGTGGAACCGACTCCCAAGAGGATGCTTCCCTGACCATTACAATCTTAACCTGTTTATGTCTAGGGTTAACCGTTAACAACATATCCTCATAAACTCTACCCCTTACCTCTGACTCTGTAGCACTCTACCTCGAGTGGCTTTTGGGTCTTGTACAGGGTGAAAAAACTATTTTAAAAAGAATAATGAATGTAGCTCGTCAGAATAGTTGCCATGGAAATAGTGACAAAGTAGCAAAAGACTTGCTATGTTTCGTCGGTAGGGAAGGGGTTGTAGAGTTGGAAGTAATTCATCACCCACAAGGATGCAATCTTTCAAAGCTGGAAATTGAGGACAGGGCATCTCTAGTCCCGAGATGTTTCAATAAAACATTTACTTGAATCGTGAGCCGGCCATTAATCTATACTGTTATTGATTTTTAAAGTGTAGCTTGAGAACTGTGGCACATGTCAGGGTAAAAAGCTCTATTCGTTTAGCCTTTACCATCGTATGTACCTTGATCGATTTTTACCCTTCCTTCGTATTACTAACGATATTTTGTATAGTAACAGTAGAAATGCTATAATAATATAATGGCCAGCTGCTTGTCTGCGACTATCCTCGTCCGCCAACTAGACCCTGTTGCAGGTACCTGCTCAAGCACATTTGTGGCTCTACCAGACTCACCGTTCCAACCTATGGTTTATATTACAGTTATGTTGAGCAGAACTTGAATTATCTAGGAGGGAACGCATACTCTAGCGTGATTAACAGTTTGAACACGGCTAGTATACACGAACCCTCAGTCACGCTGACTTGCAGCTTCACGTTAGCACTCTTTCCGAAGTTTCTTCTACCCAATTTCACTTACAGGGCTTGAGGCAACTTATTGCATTGCTTTCAGGTATTTCCCAACAATGTCAAAAATTCATGTTATCTTTCCAAACAGACCATGTTTCTAACCACTTGGCTATGCGCTCACGATGCAGTGACATGTATTGTCTTCTTGCATTAAAACGAGAATACAACCACAAAAAAAACAATGAGAATTACTACTTTTACCAGCCATTAAAAAAATGGAGGTCGCAAGGAAAGTTGGTTTTCTGTGTCGCGCCAGACGATTTTTCTCGCCTGAGTCTATCCTTCAAATCTACAAATCTACCATTCGTCCTTGCATTGAATACTGTTGCCATATATGGTCCGGTGTCCCTGCTGTTCATCTCGAGGTCTTTAACAAAATAAAAGGCGGATATGCAATGTGACAGATCCTGATCTGACATCTCGTCTACAGACACTTTCTGACAGACATGATGTGGCTTCCTTCTGTCTTTTCTACAAATATTTTCATGGCAACTGCTCTGACAAGCTACTTTCTCTCGTACCCCAACTTCATGAATTTAAGCGGGCTACTATGTTGGCATCTCGGTTCCATCCTTTCACTGACGAAACAGTTAATTGTAACGGCCTCTTCTACTCCAACAGCTTCTCTCGCACTTCCAATCAGTGGAACTCCCTTCCTCTTACTTGCTTCCCTGATTTCTTTTATCTTCAAATATTCAAATGTAGCGTTAATCGACATCTTCTGATGTCTTGATCCCGATCCCCGTCCTTCTTTATATCCTTTCCTCAAACAACCCTCTTTACTCTTGCTCTCACTCTCTGTAACCCCTTGCTTGCTAGTGGCACTCATGCCTTGCTTGGGGTGGAATGCTTAAAAAAAAATGTTTCCACAGCGAATTTGATACAACTGGTAGAAATTGTGCGCTAGTTTAGAACCCATG